GGAAATTTCCTATTTCCCATTTATTTCCAATTTCCTTTTCCATTTCCCATTTATTTCCAATTTCCTTTTATTTCCCATTTATTTCCCATTTCCTTTTCCCATTTCCTGTTCCCATTTCCCATTTATTTCCAATTTCCTTTTATTTCCCATTTATTTCCCATTTCCTTTTCCCATTTATTTCCATTTCCTTTCCCATTTCCCAATTATTTCCCATTTCCTTTTATTTCCCATTTCTTTCCAATTTCCTTTTATTTCCTGTTTATTTCCCATTTATTTCCTTTTCCCATTTCCCATTTCCTTTTCCCATTTCCCGTTTCCTTTTCCTGCTCACGGTGAGGATCTCGAGAATCTCCAAAATTGAATCTTGGAAATCTGGAAAACCTGGAAAATTGCATCTCAAAAATCTGGAAAATAGAATTTCAAAAATCTTGAAAATTGAATCTCCAAATTCTCAAAATTTGAATCTCCAAACTCTTGAATTGAGCGAGGCTCAAACTCCAAACTGCAGCGCCACAAACCCCGAGATCAACCGGTGCTGAACCCGGGAAAATAAACCAAAAATGTGAATTCAAAATCAAAATTTTAAAATATTTGTGAAGAATTTGAGATCTAAAATTGAAGAAAATCCACCAAACCAACGATGAGAGCTCCAAACTCCTCCAAACCCAAAGCACCGAGTGCCAATTGGAGCTGGAAAATGCGGAAAATTAAATCGCGAGAATCTCGAAATTGGAATCTGGAAAATCTTGGGAATTGAATCGGGAGAATCTTGGAATTTGAAGCTTGGAAATATTGGGAATGGAATCTTGAAAATGTTGAAAACTGAATCTTGAGATTTTTGGGAATTGAATCTTGAAAATCTCGAAATTTGAATCTCCAAACTCTTGAATTGAGCGAGGCTCAAACTCCAAACTGCAGCGCCACAAACACTGAGATCGACCGGTGCTGAAGCCAGGAATAAAAACCAAGGATGTGAGTTAAAAATTAAAATTTTTTAAAATATTTCTGAAAAATTTAAGATCCAAAATTGAARMAAATCCACAAAACCAACGATGAGAGCTCCAAACTCCTCCAAAGCCAAAGCACGGAGTCCCCGGCGAGCGGCGCCGTCACCGAACCCTTTTTGGGTGTAAAAATCCCCAATTCTGTCCCGTCGGGAGGAATAAACTCCACCCCTCAGGTGACGGAATCTTTCTTCCTGCGGAAAGGAGATTTGAGCCTTTTCCAGACGCTGCTTTTGGGTTTGGATTTCCTCTCCAGGGCYGTCAGAGCCTCGCGCTCCTTGCGGCGGATTTCGCGCACCAGCGCGTGGAAAACGTCGTCGATGAAATAGCGGAACGCGGCCGACGTCTCGAAAAACGGGCAGCTGAACTCCCGGGCCAGAGCTGAGCCTTCCTCCTTGGAAACCTGGGGAAAATGGGGGAAATGGGGTAAAATTGGGGAATTTTGGGGGGATAACACTTTCATTTCCACCCCTTCCCTGTCCCAAATCCCCCCTCACCTGGCGCAGCTGCCTCAGCTGCTCCCTGGGTTAAATTTCTCCATTTTTAACCCCCTCCCTGTATTAAATTTCTCATTTTTA